CCAGCTGAGGCTTTTTTCTGTTCTGGACTCACAGCATCTCCAACTGGCTCTTTTTCTCTGCTACAAAGTTCCTGAAAAGGGGCTAAAACGTCCTCTTCTTGCCAGGATCAAACCTGCAACCGAGGGAGATGCCCTTGACCATAATGAAACCTGGGATCCTTCAGTCTGAGGGCCAAAGCTCCAGTCACTGAACCAAACTGGCTAGGGCCCAATTGTTGTTCTTAATCCCTTCACCTTTTTCAGCCATTCCCCAAGCCTCCTCCTCTCTGGCGACCATCAATCTGTTCTCTGTGTCTGTGAGTTTGTTTCAATTTTGTTTATCCATATATTTTGTTCTTTAGATTCCACACATAAGTGAAATCATATTGTAGTTGTCTTTCCCTGACTTACTTTACTTAGCATAATACCCACTAGGACCATCCATGCTGTCGCAAATGGTAAGATTATTTATGGCCTAGTAATATTCCATTGTATATATGTATCACAGCTTTTTTATCCACTCATTTATTGATGGCACTTGGGTTGCTTCCATATCTTGGCTATTATAAATATTGCTGCAATAAACATAGGGGTGCATATATTCTTTCAAATTTATACTTTGTATTTCTTTGAATATATACCCAGAAGTATAATTGCTGGGTCATAAACCAGTCCTTTTAAAATATTTGAGGGACCTCCATACTGTTTTTCATAGTGGCTGCATCAATCCACATTCCCGCCAACAGTGCATGAGAGTTTCCTTTCCTCCACATTCTTGCCAGCACTAGTTGTTTATTCATGATAGCCACTCTGATAGATGTGAGGTGGTATCTCATTGTGGTTTTAATTTGCATTTCTTTGATTAGTGTTGTTGACATTTTTCATGTCTGTTGGCCATTTGTATGTTCTCTTTGTTGAAGTATCTATTCAGATCCTCTGCCCATTTCTTAATTGAATTGTTTGGATGTGAGAGCGATCTGGCTGCGACATGTCACCCCATTGATCGCCAGGGTTGATTCGGCTGATCTGGCTGGCTAGGCAGGTGTCCCCCTCCTCCCTCACCGATCCATGTGCGTCCCTCCCGAAGCTGCACGCTGGGTCGAAGAGGACGACCTCCCCCCCCCCCCCCGCGCCCGCCCAGGAGAGGACCGGTCTTCAGGCAAGGGTATACGAGTAGCTGCGCTCCCCTGCTAGAACCTCCAAACAAGCTCTCAAGGTCCATTTGAATTGTTTGGAGGTTTATTTTGGTGTTGAGTTCTTCATAAATTTTGGATATAAACTCCTTATCAGATGTATCATTGGGAAATATATTCTTCCATTCAGTAGGTTTTCTTTTCATTTTGATGGTTTCTTTTGCTGTGCAGAAGGTTTTTAGTTTGATGCAGTCCAATTTGTTGTTGTTTTTTTCCTTTGTTTTCCTTGCCCGAGGAGATAGATCACAAAAATTCTGCTAAGAGAAATGTCAGGGTTTCCTACCTATGTTTTCTTCTAGGAATTTTAGTTTTGAGTCTTTTTTTTTTCTCTCCCCCCCCCCCCCCCAGTTTTGAGTCTTACTTTTGTCTTTTATACACTTTGAGCTTATTCTTGTATATTATGTAAGAAGGTGGTCTAGTTTCATATATATTCTTTGCATGTATCTGCCCATTTTTCCAACAATATTTATTGAATAGACTGTCTTTACCCCATTTTATGTCCTTGGCTCCTTTATTAAATTTTAATTGACCATATAGGCGTGCATTTATTTCTGGGCTATTTATTTTGTCTCATTAATCTATATATCTGTTTCTATGCCAGTACTATGCTCTTTGACTATTATGTGGTCATGCCTAGTAATACTTCAATTCTTCTACAGGGCACACGTATTAAGATGATATGTACAACTTTTAAGAACAGCCTTATGAAGTAACTATACCAGTGGAGATATAATTTAGTAATCATTTCTCCCCTTTAAAAAAATATTGAAATTTTGTTAAATTGTTCACTAATAAGCTTGACATTTAGCTATGACTCATTTAATTTACCACATAATGCATGTTTACATTAAGTTTACTCAAAATATGAACTAAGGTGTGGTGCAAAAGTGTAATCCGTGGTATGATTATTCCAAACGTTGAGAATGTCTTGATGCTTTTAAGATTCTCTCTTTGTCTTTAACCTTTGGCATTTTAATTATGATGTGTCTTGGTATGGGCCTCTTTGAGTTCCTCTGCACTTCCTGGATTTGTAAGTCTATTTCTTTTACCAGGTAGGGGGAGTTTTCTGTCATTATTTCTTCAAATATGTTTTCAATATCTTGCTCTCCCTCACCTCCTTCTAGCACCCTCATGATTTGAATGTTGGTACACTTGAAGTTGTCCCAGAGGCTTCTTACACTGTCTTCATATTTTTGGAATTCTTTTTCTTTTTGCTCTTCTAATTGGGTGTTTTTTGCTTCCTCGTATTCCAAATAGTTGATTTGATTCTCGGAGTCCTCTACTCTATTGCTGAATCTCTGTCCATTATTTCAGTTAGTGTATGCTTAATTTCTTTCTGGTCCTTTTTCATGTCTTTGACGTTCTCACTAAGATCTTTAAAAGTCTCACTAAGATCCTGGAAGCTCTCATGAATATCTTTGAGTAATCTTATAATCATGGTTTTGAACTCTGTATCCAGTAAATTGCTTGATTCCATTTCTTTCATTTGTGATATGTCTCCACATTTTGGCAGCTTCCCTGTGTTTGTTTCTATTTATTAAGTAGAGCTGCTATGTCTCCAGGAATTGGTAGAGTGGCCTTGTGTATTAGGTGTCCAGTGGCTCAGCCTCCCCAGTCACCTGAGGTTGGCACTCTAGGTACACCCATGAGTGGGCTGTGTGCACAGTCTTTTAGTTAAGCCTTGACTGCTATTGGCATCACAGGGAGGAGTTGATCTCCGGCCAGTTGGCTGTGAGGACCAGTTGTGACTACAATGAAAAAGCTGCTGTGCAGGAAACACCTCTATGACATAGGACAGTGATGGCAAACCTTTTGAGCTTGGCATGTCAGCATTTTGAAAAACCCTAACTTAACTCTGGTGCCATGTGACATATAGAAATTTTTTTGATATTTGAAACCATAGTAAAACAAAGACTTATACTTTTGATATTTATTTTATATATTTAAATGCCATTTAACAAAGAAAAATCAACCCAGAAAAATGAGTTTGCGTGTCACCTCTGACACGCGTGTCATAGGTTCGCCATTACTGACATAGGACTTGCTTCAGTGGGGCTTTGGTGCTCACTGTATCTGCTCCTTGAGTATGTCACTTATGGATATGTAGAGTTGTATTCTGGTGTGGTCTGAAGCTGTCCACCTGGTGTACTGGCTCTAAGGTCTTCAGGGAGGTGCAAAGTCAGCCACTGCCTTGGGCCACTTAGCAGGATGAGATCTGCAAATGGATGCCATTTGTATTGGGCTTAGAAGTGCCCAGGTGAGGCCCAGCTGTGAAGCAAGGCCAGGTGGTGCTAGTGCCAGGTCTTGGCTTTTATTAATAGGTTTGGGGCATGCTGATACCATCTGCAGTTTTTTGAGAGATTTTAGCAGTCTGAAGCCTGAACTAGGACAGGACATTCATATTGAAAAACTGCTGCAAACAGCTTGGGTGGGGCTGCAATTTGGATGGGATCTCAGGGAATCACCAGGGCAAACAGTTTAACCCCTAGATTGCCGGGGAGCTCGATTGTGCTCCTCCTGTCTTTCACCAAAAGTGCCGGGAGCGCTATCAAAGCTTCGAAATGGCGTCCAGTTCTAAGTCTGCTTTGATTAGTGATGACGATATTGCTAAATATGTCAATGTAGTAAAGGTTTCCTTAAGTTTTTGAATATGTAACTTCATTTACTTGCAATTCATAATTTTTTTTCCTAAACTGCTGTAAAATCAGCAAAAATGCCTTGGCAATTTTAGCATAGTTCCTAGGATATTGGTTGGCACTCAAAGGGTTAAGCCAGGCTGATGGAGACACAGATATAGATCCTGCCAGCCAGCTCTGCAACAGGGGCAATGACCCCTGCAAGTATCCCCATCTGGGATTAAGCTGCTCCCAAGTTCCTGCCCTGATGCCAGACAATTCGGTTCCAATATGTTTCTGGGTCCCTTAAAGCTGCCCAGTACTGGAGCTTAGAAGGATTAAGTCTAAGTAAGTTTGTGCACTGGCCCTTTAAAAGGAACACTTGGATCTCTAGCAACCTCTGTATCATGCATCTCCAATCCCCACTGGTCTTTATAGCCTGTAGTTACCAGGACTTTTCTTCCCAACTCTGGAATCCTGGGCTAGGACCCCTTGCTCCTGACGGGCAGCCTCCTCAGCAACGATCCCCCTCCCAGCTAAAAAAAAAAAGGGCACACGTGGGTGTTGGACTAGCCCATTCCATGCCTGTGCCCCTCCTACCAGTCTCAATGTGCTTACTTCTTTACTTCTCTAGTTGTAGGACTTCCATTCAGCTAGCTTTCAGGTGGTCCTGAATAATGGTTGTTCTATATTTTAGTTGGAATTTTGATGCGGTTATAGGAGCAGTGCGTACTGACACCTACTCGCCATCTTGGTTCTCTTTACACATTACATTTTCAAACAATTGGACAGGTCAGGTCACTTTATTCAGGATAAAAAATTTCTATTACTTTTCTATTAGACTGCTAGATTTGACTTGGCATTTTAATTTGAATATTCAAATATGATGAATACAATGTACTGTTTTTTATAGCTGATTTGGATACTTTCCTTACCCAAATTTGGTCAACGGGTTATGCTAACCTTATAACTATGATTCTTTGTATATTGAACACTTAGAAGATTTTATCTGTAAGATACTCTGGTAATAGAGGAATAACATGGTGTAGTTCTTTAGTTTTTTCTTGATTCTTACTTGACTCAGGAAAATAATACTTTTCTAAGATTTCAGACAACTGTAAAAAGCTGAATATAAATAGGCACACTGCAAAATACTCTAAACACATATTTCCTATGAATTACCAAATCACAGTTGAATGTGCATATACACATATAGGCATATTGTAGTTTGCTTTATTGCATGTCACAGATGTTACATTTTTTTTGTTTTTACAAATTGAAGGCAAGACTCTCCAAAAGCAAAAGGATCATGACTCACTTTAATGCCATACTCAATATATTGTAGTGCTCTTAAACCATACCTGAAATATGTCCAAGGTATTAATATATGTTGAAGAAAGTAATGCTTTTCCACAATTTGTTATACTGTAAAAATATGATAAACAATGTCCCATCTTACTAAATAAAGTTGAATAAATGTGTATATTCATAAAAATATTTTTTCCTGAGACTCAAATATATTATGAAAAGTTGAGTATAAACTTATAACAGATATGATGGAGTTTCTTATTTCACAGCAGGTCCAAGAACGGGGCAGTTCTGAATTGTTTCATCAGCTCAACAATGTTAAGGACAAAGGTAATTCCAACCTATCCCATGCCAATCTGTCTCTTACCCCTCTGGTTGCAAAATGGCCATAATTCCAGGTATCACAGACATATAGACATGCATTCTGTATAAAAGAGGACTATTTCCTCCTATTTTGTTAGGAAAGAAAACTTAACTGAAGCTCATTTGCAGACTTTTGCTCAATTCTCCTATGGCCAGGACTGGTATACATATGCCAAGATGCAAAGCAAACTAGGTGAGCAAGCATCTTGCATTTAGACTTAAGTGGGTGGCAAGTAACCCTGGCAAAGGGAGAATAGTTAATACCAATGAATAGGCAACCAACAGTATCAGCCACAATAATATTGTCTTATTCCTTTAAATATCCTCCACTTTTGTAGTTATATATCCTCTCTTATTCATGAGATTTTTTTCTTTATAGGATACAGTGTTTTTCATTTCAAAAAATGTTTTCAAGTTTTCTTTCATTTTTGGCCCTATAATTATTTTGTTAGAACTTTTCAACATATGAGGGTCAAATGCTTATTCATTCATTCTCTTATTCCTTCAATCATCAGTGTTTACTGGGAACCTACCAGGAACAGAGAATGGGCAGTGTACCAAGTATAGTTAAGTGGGAAAGTATCCTGCCTTAATTTTTTCTGTTTCCTACACATATTGAAAGAAGTAAATTTTCCTCAAGTATTGCATTGCTATATCCTGCAAATTTCAACATGTAGTCTTCTCTTTGTCATTCATTATGAATGATAATTTGCCTTTTAATATAAAAATATTTATACAGTTATCTTTTAAATTTCCACATAGAAAAAAATGGATTTAGACTAAGGCTTTGTTATTTTCTAATTATCCAGAACAGAAGCCATAGAGTGTGCCCTATGTCATTTTTTTAAGGTCTTAATATATCGTCCAGGTCTTCACCCTGACCTCATAGCTACCCACTTTTATTCTACTGGGGTTCTTTACATTATGAATCTTCTGATGGGACAAAAATATAAGCTATGATAAAAGTTTGTTTTTAATTTTTCTCCAGAAGGAATTACTTACAATTCAATAAAGAAAGACACGAATTAAGATGTTCATATAGTCACTGAACCCCAAAGGCTTCTCTAATAATACACACTTATGAAAATAAAAAACGCTTATTAATAATAAAGGCAGCTCTTATCTAGCAGACTTTCAATACAATACAGACTGTTCTATGGGATATAATGTAATTACTTAATTTTCACAATGCTACTAAAAATATGGTGCTAATATTACCAATTTATAAATGAGAAAATTTAGACATAGTTAAGTAATTTGCCCTATAAAAATGAGTTATAGTGGTGAAGGCAAATAAAGACTAAATATTGGTTAAATCCTTTCCCACTCTGATTTAGTTCAAGTTAATTTTAGAAAATAAGTTTGCAAATCTGAACAAGATTTGGGCAGGGTAAACTAATTTTCTACAATTTTAATATTAATATAGCCTTCATCAAGTATGACTATCAGATAAATAACTTGTTAGCTAAAACAAATTGGTGTCCCACATATATGCCAATTATATTATAAATCCTTTTATTTCCCTTAAAGGTTAATGACCCTGATGTTGAGAAAGGTTTAAATGATTAATGTCGCCGAAACCGGTTTGGCTCAGTGGATGGAGCGTCGGCCTGCGGACTGAAGGGTCCCGGGTTTGATTCCGGTCAAGGGCATGTACCTTGGTTGCAGGCACATCCCCAGTAGGAGATGTGCAGGAGGCAGCTGATCGATGTTTCTCTCTCATCGATGTTTCTCTCTATCTCTCTCCCTTCCTCTCTGTAAAAAATCAATAAAATATATTTTTAAAAAAATAAATGATTAATGTCTCTAACACATTTGCTGCCTTCACACTTTCCTTACATTCATGAAGGTTTTTGCTTTTGCACCAATTGAACTGATATCAAATTAATTTGAAAACACAAATAAATGCTTCCAATTCCTAACATTTATAAGGTTTCTCATCAGTAACAAATGCTCAATAAATTCTGGCCCTTAAATAAAGACTTTATATCTACAGTACAAACTCTGATATTAAATTGTTATCCTCAAATGCTTTCCCACATTCCTTATAATCACAGGGGTTTTTGTTTGTTTCTATTTTACTAGTATGAACTTCAGATTACAATTAAATTCTGAACTGTCCCTCATGTCTTCATTCATTCCTCTATGCTGCATGAATTTTTTTATGTTGACTAAGGTGTGAGCCACGAATAAAGGCTTTTCCACATTGCTTACATTCATAAGGTTTCTCACCAGTGTGAATTTTCTGGTGTCGATTAAGTTCTGAGCCACGACCAAAGGCCTTCCCACATTCCTTACACTCATATGGTTTTTCACCAGTATGACTTCTCTGGTGATGAGTAAGTTCTGACCTTCGTATAAAAGCCTTCTCACATTCCTTACATTTATGGGGTCTCTCACCAGTGTGAATTTTTCTATGTCGAATAAGTTCTGTGCTACAAGTAAAAGCCATTCCACATTCCTTACATTTATAGGGTTTCTCACCACTGTGAGCTCTCTGATGTCGAATAAGTTCTGAGCCACGGCGAAAGGACTTCCCACATTCCTTACATTTATATGGTTTCTCTCCAGTATGAACACTCTGATGTCGAATAAGATGTGAATCAGAGATAAAAGCTTTCCCACACTCCTTACATTTATGAGGTTTCTCACCAGTATGAATTCTTTGATGCAGATTCAGTTGAGAGGCACAACTATATGCCTTTCCACATTCCTTACATTCATAGTGTCTTTCACCAGTATGACTTATTTGATGAAGACTAAGTTGTGTATCATAACGAAAAGCTTTACCACATTCCTTACATTTATGGGGTTTCTCACCTGTATGGATTCTCTGATGTCGAAAAAGGTGTGAGGGACGGGTGAAGGCTTTTCCACATTCCTTACATTCATAGTATTTCTCATCTGTATGAATTCTATGATGTAAATTAAGTTGTGAGGTAGATGGAAATGCCTTCTCACACTCCTTACATTTATAGGGTTTCTCACCAATATGAATCCTTTGATGTTTTGTAAGTTGTGAGCTAGAATGAAAGGCTTTCCCACATTCCTTACATTTATGAGCTTTCTCACCAGTATTAATGCTCTGAGGTTTAGTAATTTCAGAGTCCTGAATAAAGGCACATTTCTCATGTTCATTACTTTTCTTTCTTTTATGAATTCTCTGATGCTTAATCAAGTCTGATCTACTATTAAAGGCTTTATCATAGTCTCCATATTTAGAGCTCTTTTCCTTATTATGACTGCGTTCATGTTGGAGGTGGTATGCTTGGTAACTGAAAGCTTCCTTACATTCCTTGCATTCACATTTCACTCCAGTATGAATTATCTGAGGTAGTCTATTGACTGTACACTGAATAGAAGCAGACCTTTCTTCAGAGGTCATTACCACTGATTTGAAATGTCCATCCTGTTGTTTCTCCAAGTAGCATTTGATTTCACTATTATCTTTGACCCTAGTACACACAAGGTTAGAACTTATAGGTCTTTTTGTTATCTTTGGTTGCAATGATTTAATTTCATAACTACCCTCCTTTGGAGATAAATTCTTGGTTTCTCTTCTGGACTCCCAATCTGTAAGATAACAAGAAAATAGGAGGTATTTTTTATTGCAGAAAAAAGGAAAGCTTTTCTAAGGTAGAAATTACAAACTAAAACTAGCAAATAAATAGCTCTTAAGATTGCTTTGCAAAAACAAACAAACAAACAAACAAAAAACAGGGGGCAGAGGAAAATGAGAATAGAGAAAATAAGGTGAACTTATAGAAGTAGTTCTTTGGAGAAGTGTCTATTTAGGTCCTTCGCCCATTTTTAAATTGAATTGCCTGTCTTCCTTTTGTTAAGTTGTATGAGTTCTTTATATATTTTGGAAATTAACCTCTTGTCAGATGTATCATTGATATATATGTTCTCTCATACAGTGGGATCCCTTTTCATTTTGTTGTTGGTTTCTTTTACTGTGCAGAAGCTTTTTATTTTGATGTAGTCCCATTTGTTTAAATTTTCCTTTGTTTCCCTTGCCCTAGGACAGTGGTCAGCAAACTGCGGCTTGCAAGCCACATGCGGCTCTTTGGCCCCTTGAGTGTGGCCACGAAGTTTCAATCGCACTGTACGTGCGCACCCGCATGTGGTATTTTGCGGAAGAGCCACACTCAAGGGACCGCAGTTTGCCGACCACTGCCCTAGGAGATGTATCAGCAAACAATTGCTATAAGAGATGTCTGAAATTTTGCTACCTATGGTTTTCTCTAGGATTTTTATGGTTTCAGACTTACATTTAAATCTTTTATCCATTTTTAGTTTATTCTTGGGTATGGTGTAAGTTGGTGGTCTAGTTTCATTTTTTTTTTTTTGCATGTACCTTTCCATTTCTCCTAACACATTTATTGAAGAGACTGTCTTTACTCCATTGTATGTTCTTGCTTCCTTTGTCAAATATTCTCCAAAGACGACATACAGATTAACCAAAGAAAGTATATGCATAACCCATGGACATAGAGTGTGGAAGACCTGCGGGTAGAGTGGGGACAGGGTGGAGGGTGTCAATGGGGGTAAAAAGGGGACATCTGTAATACTTTCAACAATAATTTTTTTTATTATTTAAAAAAGTGGTTCTTCACCTCTGGTGAGAAGCTGAATCAGCCGAGGAACTTGTAAAATACAATGTCAAGGAACCATCTAAGATCAACTAAACAAGAATCTAAAGGAGTAGGACATTACAACTAACAGCAAGTCCTCCCATTTCTAGCCTCAAAATATATCCAGATTATGTCTACTTTTACCAGTATCTTTACCACCTATCCAACCATACTAAGATTAACATGCTATCATAATGGGTCTCCCTACTTCCACTGTTGCCTTCCTAATATTCCATACCCAATACAATAACTAGCGTATCCTTATTAAAATAAATTAGATCATGTCATTCTTTTGCTCAAAAACCTCCACTGAATTTCATTCTCAGGAAGAGTGAAAATAACCTCCAAAGGAAAGAGCAAGAGATTACTCCAGAAGAAGAGATAAATGAAATTGAGATAATAAATTTATCTGGTTTAGGGTTCAGAATAATGAGGGTGAAGATGCTCAACAGTATTAGAAAAGATATAGGAACTATAAAAAAAGAACAGTTGGAAATGACAAATGACATAGCACTAATAAAGAACACATTGGAAGGAATTCGCAGCAGATTAGGGGAAGCTAAGGATTGGACCAGTGAGTTAGAAGACAGGATTAAAAAAAATCACTCAATCACAGAACCAAAGAGAAAACACAATTAAAGGAGTAAAGAAGCTATGGAACAATATGAAACATAACAATATTCACATTTTAAGTGTCCCAGAAGGGGAAGAAAGGGATAAAGAGATAAAGAACATGTTTAAAGAAATAATGGCAGAAAACTTCCCTAACCTGGTGAAGAAAAAAGTCACACAAGTTAAGGAGGCTCAGAGTCCCAAACAAGAAGAACCCAAACCCACATCTAGACACATCATAATTAAAATGCCAAAAATTAAAGAAAAAGAGAGAATATTAAAGGCAGCAAGAGAAAAGCAATTTATTATGTACAAAAGAACTTCCATAGGCTGACACCTGATTTCTCATCAGAAACTCTACAGGCCAGAAGGGAATGGCATGAAATACCTAAGGTAATGGAAAGCAAAGATCTGAAACCAATATTACTATATCCAGCAAGGCTATCATTCAAAATAGATGATGAAATAAAGAGCTTCTCACACAATAAAAGGCTAAAGGAGTTCATCACCACCAAGCCAGCATTACAAGAAATGCTAAAGGGACTGCCTAATAACAAGAAGAAATAGAGCCCTAACTGGTTTGGCTCAGTGGATAGAGCATCGGCTTGCGGACTGAAAGGTCCCAGGTTCGATTTCGGTCAAGGGCATGTACCTTGGTTGCAGGCACATCCCCAGTAGGAGGTGTGCAGGAGGCAGCTGATCGATGTTTCTCTCTCATCGATGTTTCTAACTATCCCTCTCCCTTCCTCTCTGTAAAAAATCAATAAAATATATATATATAAAAAAGAAGAAATAGAGAAATCTAGGCATACAGAATTAAAATGGTAATAAATAAGTACCTATCTTATATAATAAAAGCCTAATATACTAAGTGTCTGGTCATCTGTTCAACCAATCAAAGCATAATATGCTAATGATATAAGGCCGCTCAATTGCTCGCTATGAAATGCACTGACCAACAGGGGGCAGACAGTCGACCAATCGCTATGACATGCACTGACCACCAGGGGGCAGATGCTCCGATTGGTAGGTTAGCTTGCTGCTGGGGTCAGGCCAATTGGGACTGGGCAAGATGGGCCGGACATGCCCTGGAGCCCTCCCATGGCCCTTTCCAGGCTGGCCAACCTCCCGCATCCCTCCTCAGCCCCGACCGTGCACTGGTGGGGACCCTCAGCCTGGCCTGCACCCTCTCGTAATCTGGGACCCCTTGGGGGATGTCAGAGAGCCGGTTTCGGCCTGATCCCACAGGCCAGACCAAGGGACCCCACTGGTGCACGCATTTGTGCACTGGGCCTCTAGTCAATAACCTTAAATGTAAATGGATTAAATGCTCTAATCAAAAGACACAGGGTAGCTAAATGAATACAAAAACATGACCCAATTATAAGCTGTCTACAAGGGACCCACCTCAGAACAGAAGATTCACACAGGATAAGAGTGAAGGGATGGAAAAATTTTTTTCATGCAAATGGCAAAAAAAAAACCTAGGGTAGCAATACTCATATAAGACAAAATAACCTTCAAAATGAAGGTCATCATGAGATAACAAAGGTCACTACATAATATTAAGGGGATTGACCTAAAAAGAGGATATAACCGTGGTAAACATATATGCACCCACTATAGGAGCTCCTAAATATATGAAAAAATTCTAGAGGACTTTAAGGTTGTGATCAACAACAATACAGTCATAGTAGGAGATTTTAACACCCTGCTGACTTCACTGGCTAGATCTTCCAGACAAAAAATAACAAGAAAATAGTGATTCTAAAAGACACACTGAACAGATGGTTTAATTGACATTTATAGAATATTTCACCCCAAAGCTCCAGAATATACATTCTCCTCAAGTAGATCATTCACAAAGATAGACCACATGTCAAGTCACAAAACAAGTCTCTTCAAATTCAAGAAGATTGTAATCATATCAAACATCTTCTCAGATCACAGTGGAATAAAATTAGAAATCAATTATATTAAAAGCACACCAAAACATTCAAACACATGGAGGCTAAGTAGCATGTTATTAAACAATAAATGGGTTACCAAAGAGATCAAGAAAGAAATAAAAAAACTTCCTGGAAACAAATGAAAATGAACACACACTCAAAATCTCTGAGACACAGCAAAAGCAGTCCTGAGAGGGAAGTTCATAGCACTACAGGAATACTTCAAAAAACTAAAACAAAACAAAAAGAAAACAAGAAAAACCAACAATAAACTAACTCTACAACTAAAAGAATTAGAAAGAGAATAACAAGAAAAGCCCAGAGAAAGTAGAAGGAAATAATAGATTAGAGCAGAAATAAACTACATACACTAAAAAATTAATACAAAAGTCAAGGAAACCAAGAGCTGGTTCTATGAAAGAATAAACAAAATTGATGAACCATTAGTCAGACTCATCAAAAGACAGAGAACATCCAAATAAATAAAACTAGAAAAGAAAGTGGAGAAGTAACCACTGACACCACAGAAATACAAAGGATTGTAAAAAATACTATGAACAACTATATGGCAAAAAGCTGGATAATGTGGATGAAATGGACAAATTCCTAGAAAAATACAATCTTCCAAAACTGAATCACAAAGAATCAGAAAACCTGAGTAGGCCAATAACAACTGATGAAATAAAAGTAGTAATTAAAAAACTCCCATCCAACAAAATCCCGGGTCCAGATGACTTCACAGGGGAGTTTTATTAAACATTCAAAGAAGAACTAACACCTATACTCCTCAAACTATTCCAAGAAATCCAAGAGGAAGAAACATGTCCAAGCTCTTTTTATGAGGCCAGCATGATCCTAATTCCAAAACCAGATAAAGACACTACAAAGAAAGAGAATTACAGGCCAATATCCCTGATGAACATAGATGCTAAAATCCTCAAGAAAATATTAGAAAGTTGGATCCAGCAATATATTAAAAAGATCATACACCATGACCAAATGGGATTTATTCCAGGGATGCAAGGCTGGCACAATATTCGCAAATCAATAAATGTGATATATCACATAAACAAACTGAAAGATAAAAATTATATGATCATATCAATAGACGCAGAAAAAGCATTCGACAAAATCCAACACCCTCTTTTGGTAAAAACTCTCAGCAAAGTGGAAATAGAAGAAGCATATCTCAACATAATAAAAGCTGTATATGACAAACCTACAGAGAATATCATACTCAATGGGCAAAAACTAAAATCATTTCCTCTAAGAACAGAAACAAGACAGGGATGTCCATTCTCACCATCCTCATTCAACATAGTATTGGAAGTCCTAGCCACAGGGATTAGACAAGAAATAAAAGGCATTCAAATTG